TACTGTTCCAAAAATGGATTTTCTTTATGTATGGATTTTAGAGTTAGAAAATATCTCTATCTTCTGAAAAATGTTAAAACCACAAGTAAAAGGATGGGGTTTTTTACGTGGCACGTGGGGTGGGGAGGGTTCTGAGACCTAATCTGAGGCCCATTTGTTATTTCAGCTTCCTGTAGATGAATATTCAAGAGGAGAACAAGAAAATTCACAAAGAGGGTAACTTCCAATTCAGCAATGATGAGCAACAGGGGTCTCAGGTCACAGATGAAGAAGTGAGTGTTTTAACCGTTGGGCTGAGCTCAGTAACAGGACATCTCAACTGGTGCTTATAAGGTTAGACATGTGGGCAGGCAGTGGCATGTAGGATGTCTGTCAGTGAGGTCCTTAGCTTACTCTAGTGTTTAGGGGCAGAGCTTTTGGCCCTAAGACCGGAAAGACCTAGGTTTTAGTTCTTCCAAGACTAGAACTAATATGCCAGCTTATTGGTGTGGCACCTAAAATGGAGAACAAAACAAAATTTTCATGCTACCAACTCAAGCACATGGGAAAACTGGGTTTTTAGAGCTGGAGGGCAAGGACCCCGTTATTGTAGCATAGGAATACACAGAGGGTTGCACTGCACCAGAATGTCTCGGGAGCTGGGTAGTAAACACTAGGATTTCCTGTCTTGGATCATCTAACTGGGAGAATGATTCTAGTGGAGAGATCAAAATGTGAGGGCAGGCAAAGTCAGGTAAAAGGCTGGGGCAGAGAGTGCTGAGAAAAGTCAAAAGTATCTCTGTGATTTTAGGTCTTCCTCCCCCCCCCCCCCCCACACACACACACAACAGACAATGGTCCTATATTCTCAAACCTAAAGACAAGAGCTAAGTAATTCTATTGGTTGTTTAAATCTGGCAAAAGAATCATTAACTAATCTGAACTCTAAGAAATGCAGCCTACTAATAATCTTTGACAAAGATTGTAAACAGAGAAGGGAGTTGCTATAAACAAAGCTAGCTCATTCTTTTTGTGCATATTTTTAGTTAAGTAAACCAATGCTCTTCGGTCACGTCCTTACATTTTATTTTAGAATCCTCCCAGGTGCTGGAGTTAGTGCTCAGTGAGTGGCACTCCAGCTAGAGGTTATTAGGAGGATTGGGCTTTTATCAAGACCAGGGAAGACAGTGGAAAGAAGGCTAAGGGAGATCCGGAAAGTATGAAGAGGGCTTTACATTTTATTTTCCAGATAACAGTCCTTTGATGTAAATCCTTTTATTTTTATTTGTCAACACTGTGAGTTTGCTTTAGTTCAGTGGTACAAATAATTCAAAGATTGCTCTTGGCAATCTGAAACAAGAATCTGAAGGATGCCTATACACAGTGCCTGGCAAAAGTAGGTTTATAGCTGTTTGCAAGAGTTTATTTTTGTATTATTAATGAATGTACTATTTATTATTATTAACCTACTTTGCCTACCTCTATATTTTGGACATAAGGAACCGTTTTTTTAATATTCAGGATTATTTTATATTAGTTTTAGATGTATAACATAGTGGTTAGACAATTATTAATGTACAAAATGACTGATCCCTACAATAATTCAAGTACCCACAATATTATTGGCTCTATTCCCTATGCTGTACTTTAATTTCTGTGACTGTTTTGTTACTACCAATTTGTACTTCTTAATGCCTTTACTTTTTTTCACCCAGCCCCCTAATTCCCATCCACACTGGCAATCATCAGTTTATTATCTGCATCTATAAGCCTGTTTCTGTTTTTTTGTTCACTTATTTTATTCTTTAGATTTTACACATAAGTGAAATTATGCGGTATTTATCTTTCTCCATTTGACTTATTTTACTTAGTATAACTCTTTCTAGGTCCATCTATGTTACAAAATGATAAGACTTCATTCTTTTTTATGGCTGAGTTGTATATGTATGTATCACAACTGTTTTATCCGCTCATCTATTGACGGTCACTTAGTTTGATTTCATATCTTGCCTCTTGTAAATAATGCTGCAGTGAGCCGAAACCGGTTTGGCTCAGTGGCAGAGCGTCGGTCTGCGGACTGAAGGGTCCCGGGTTCGATTCCGGTCAGGGGCATGTACGTTGGTTGCGGGCACGTCCCCGGTGGGGGGTGTGCAAGAGGCAGCTGGTCGGTGTTTCTCTCTCATCGACGTTTCTAGCTCTCTATCTCTCTCCCTTCCTCTCTGTAAAAAATCAATAAAAATATATTAAAAAAAATAATGCTGCAGTGAACAGAGAGATTATATCAAACTAAAAAGTTTTGCACAGCAAAGGAATCCATTAATAAAATGAAAAGACAACCTACTGAATGGAAGGAGATATCTGCCAGTAATATATCCTATAAGGAGTTACTATCCAAAACTTATAAAGAATTCAGACAACTCAAAACCAAAAAGTCAAGATTTTAAAGATTGGGCAGAGGACCTGAATAAATACTTCGCCAAAGAGGACATACAGATGGCCAACAGACATATGAAAAGATGCACAATGTCACTAATCGTCAGAGAAACCCAAATTAAAATCACAATGAGATATCATCTCACACTTGTCAGAGGGGCTATTATCAATAAATCAACAAGCAGCAAGTGTTGGTGAGGATGTGGAGGAAAGGGAACTCTGTTGGTGGGAATGTAGATTGGTGCAGCCACTATGGAAAACAATATGGAATTTCCTCAAAAACTTAAATATGGAACAGCCTTATGACCCAGCAATTCCACTTCTGGGCGTATATCCAAAGAAACCCAAAATACTAACTGGAAAGAATATATGCACCCCTGTGTTCAAAAACCATAGCTTTTTTAGACTGGAATGGACTGTAAAGGTCATCACATTAAATTGTTTCATTTTACAGCTGAGAAGAATGAGGCCTATTAAAGTTATGTGACTTGCTTCATGATAAGACATAAATGGCTGGCTGGGCCAGGACTAGAACCTACGGAATTACAAACCATGTCTATCTTACCTCAGATGACAATCCAGAGTTTGGAAAACAAACAAACAAACAAAAAACACACACAAAACACACACACAACTTTAATCTTGATTTATTCTAATTTCCAAATCAATTTGTTATTTCCTATGGGAATTTAGTGAGCAAATTCAGTAATGCTAGTGCAATTTTTCTCATGCCCTTTTGTATAGGCTCAAATATATCTATTAAGTTTCCCTCTTAATGGTAATGATGAGTTCTGTGCACATCATTTAAAAAAATATTTGCTGAGTTCTGTTAAAATAAGATTATTATTTTTTTAAATTGTCATGGTGAAAAAAAGACCGCCTTAGATTTTTATCTTTTAGGACAAACATTTGATAGTCAATTTGAAAACTCAAAAAAAAAATTTTTTTTCTTTTATCCAAGAGACAGGAAAGAAACAAGAATTGTGGTCTTTATCCATCTTGGTCAAATTCTTATGCTAATTTCTCAGTGATTTCTGCTATGTATGTGAACTATGACCATACACGAAAATGGTCTGTTTTTTAGGTCATGGCTGCGGGCAAAGATTAATTGGTGAAAAAATGGGCCTGTTCGTGGGATTTACCACACAGTAACGTTTCTCATCTCACTGGAAAAATGTGGGATTAGCTCTTTGAGAAATGTAGCCCTGTCAGGAGGTTGAAGGGAGTTTCGGTGGAGGGAAACAGTTCGCTAAGACAGTTATGATTGGTTAGATTCCAGAGCAGTCCCTCTAGTTCAGCAAAGCTCTGCCCTCTTTCAAATAAATATTTCCTACATGTGACTTAGTGTCACTAGTAATTCACAGATCGCATCTTATTCGGCTTCTTCCTTGGCACCGATCCAAACTGGGCAGTGGTCTTGGGGAGGTCTCCTAATCCGTCCCTGCCCCCTCTCCAGAACACGCTGTTACAGTGAAAAGGCCTTCCATGTGGAAATAACTTTGCGACAGCATAACTTGTCTATGCTTACTGAAATGTGGGATACAGATGTGGACGAGCGGGTATGGGTGGCAAGGGTGCGAAGTGGAGGATGGGAGGCTAGTTCCCTCCCTGTGAAGACAAGCTTGACAATATCGACTTGGATGCTCCCAGAGAACACTCCACGTGCTCCTCCCTGAAACAGCTGCTGCTCGGACCCCAGGCCTCTGCTGTGCGGCCCACATTGCCGCGGAGGACAGACCCAGCCGCAGGGCTTGGGGTTCCATCGCCCTGCCCCCCACCACAGCGGTGGCTGCTGGTCCTTTCCCAGGTCCCAGCCCCGCTGGGGCAGCTCCAGGGCCCCTCCTGAACCGGGAGGAGGTTAGGAGTCGCCCGAAGCCACTCCCTTCAACTCGATTTCCACAAACTCCCTCCTTCCCCGACACCCCGGTGCAGACGAGCGGGAGCTGCTTAGGCTCGATGTCTATGACTTTACCCCCAACCAAAGGGAACCTGCGTGCCCGTGGTCCCAGGATGGTGGGCTCGCCCCCTTCCACCCGAGGAGTACCCCACCCATGTCCCCCAGCCCTGCCCTGCCCCTCCCCCGTCCCAGGACCTAAGTCTGCGGGGCCCCCGGCCCCCGGCGGGCGCCGGGCTGGCAGGCGGCGGCGGCGGGACAGGGAGCAGCGGGCGCGCGCGGGAGGGCGGCGGGCGGGGCGCGCGCCGGGCCGGGGCCGCCGCGGGGGAGGAGCGCCCGCCCCGCCCGCCCGCCCGCTCGCTCGCTCGCGCGCCCAACGGACCAGGCTGAGGCCGTGAGTTAACTGTTGCAGCCGCGGGAGTTGGGAGGAGACTTCGCGTCTCCATTGCCTGCGGGAAAGGAGTAGCCCTTCCGCCCCTCTCCACGGCCAGCATGTCCCGGACCCCGCCGCCCCTCCGCCCGCGAGGCGTGGACCCCGGGCCGCGGCGGCGGCGGGCGCAGCCCTGACGCGCTCCTGAGCGCAGGGGGCGGGAGGGCAGCCCCGGGCGCGGGGACTAAAGGAGCGAGAGAGCGCCTGCGGCCCCTGTGAGTCCCAGCCGAGCGCGCGGAGCCCGCAGCCACTCCGGCTCCGACCATGAGGAGGGACGAGCGAGACGCCAAAGCCATGCGCTACCCGCCGCCTTCGCCTTCGCCGCCGGACGGGGCCGGCTCGCCCCCCGAGAGCCTGCGGAACGGCTACGTGAAGAGCAGCGTGAGCCCCCTGCGGCAGGACCCCCCGCGCGGCTTCTGGTTCCACCTCTGCCGCTTCTGCAACGTGGAGCTGCTGCTGCCGCCGCCGCCGGCCTCCCCCGAGGAGCCGCGGCGCGGCGGCTCCCCCTTCTGCCGGGCGCGCCTCGCGCTGGGCGCCCTGGCCGCCTTTGTCCTCGCGCTGCTGCTCCGTGCGGCGCCCGAGAGCTGGGCTGCCGGCGGCGCCGCCCGCCTGCGGAGCCTGCTGAGCGTCGGGGCGCTCAGCCTCAGCCCCCTCTTCAGCATCGCCTGTGCCTTCTTCTTCCTCACCTGCTTCCTGGCCCGCGCCCGGCGGGGCCCCGGCCCGGAGCGGGGCGCGGGCGGCGGCTCCAGCTGGCTGCTGGCGCTGCCCGCCTGCTGTTACCTGGGGGACCTGGTGTGGCCGTGGGGGTCCTGGCTGTGGGACGGAGACGCCGCGACCCCGTCCACGCCCCCCGCGGCGGCGGCGGCGGCGGCGGGCAGGTTGCTCTTGGTGCTGAGCTGCGTGGGCTCGCTGGCCCTCGCGCAGCGGCTCGGGCTCCGGCACAGCATCCTGGTGCTGCTGCTCTCCAGCTTCGTCTGGTGGGTCTCCTTCTCCAGCCTCGGGCCGCTGCCCGCAGCCCTCCGGCCGCTGCTGTCCTGCCTGGCCGGCGGCGCGGGCTGCCTGCTGGCCCTGGGGTGGGAGCACCTCTTTCACATCAGGGAAGCTCTCCACCCGCCCCGCTTATCCGGGGCCGCGGAGGAGAAAGTGCCTGTGATCAGACCCCGCCGGCGGTCCAGCTGCGTGTCGTTCGGGGAGACGGCGGCCGCGTACCCGGGCAGCGGCAAGATGTTCCGGAGACCCTCGCTGCCTTGCATCTCCAGGGAGCAGGTAGGTTCGCAGGGAGCAAGGTTTTGCGAAGGGAAGCGAGTGCGGTTCTGTCGCTTCAGTTCCTGAGTTGAATTTTTTGAAAGCATGTTAACTTTCAGGGTGGAGGAAAGAAAAAGTTTTAGTCTGCAAAGGATTCCTAAAACACAGGAGGTTTTTTTTTTTTTTAGACATACAGACGTGCCTTTTGGTGAAGTAGACTATATCGCACCTTTAAAGTACTGTTTATGCAATAGATGAGTTATTAGAAGGATGGATTATTTGAGGTCTGATAGATGGGCTACTCCCACTTTGGCATGCTCTGATGGACGTCATTTTGGTGCCGTTAATCTGTTGCTGTTATGAGTGTGATGTCTCCCCAAAGGTAGCATTCATAGACATTACTTTTAAGCAGTGTGATTTTATTACTTTGAATATGAGAGAGAGAGAGAGAGAGAGAGAGAGAGAGAGAGAGAGAGAGAGAGAGAGAGAATTTGAGATCTTAGAAACCTTGATGAACTTTGGAACTGAGACTTGTTAGTTTAGATGAAAGACTGTTGGGAATCATTTTGAAAAGATCCCCAATAACCCAAATTCCAGCGGTATAGGCTAATATAATGTTTACAGACTAACTCATGGTGGTGTGTATTTGTTGCATAATGAAGAGAATGTTGTAACAATTTAACCTTTAAACTTATGTCTGGAAAGATGCCAAAAGCATGTCCAGTAGGTTTACATGTTTTTGTCTTTTAAAAGGAATTGAAACCATCATCATGGAACCAGCTTCCATATAGCCTTGGGAAATCTTACCTGTCCTACATCACCAGGAAATTCAACAAGTATAGCTCCTCCCTGATAGCAAATGCTTTACATATATTTTCTCAAATATTTGTAAGTGCAAAATGCTTTACATATATTTTCTTATATATGTACACGAGTCCTGTATGGTGGTGACATTACCTCAATGTGGAGATGAGCCTTATGAGTTTTTGAGAGATTACCTAACTTCACACATCTAGCAAGTGGCAGTGCTGGGATTTGAACCTAGATTTCTCAGTTTTAATTGTCCTGTTCTAAGCAACGAAAGGGGTGAGTGTAGAGCTCGTATGTAGGAAAGTAGGAATTTATAGCATTGGTTTTCAGACTTTCTGATTGGTAATATGTTTTACATTGGGACCCAGTATAATTTAACTGTTTAATGACGAGTTCAACACTAATTCTGTAGTGCTCCAATGACACCATACTTTGCTTCTTGAAACTTTTTTTTTTTTTTTTTTTTTTTAAGGCTGCTTTTGTGGTCTGTAATTATTTGGCCAAATACTAGTACTTGAAAAAAATTTGTTTAAAAATGTCATGCCTTTTGTTTTCTTATTTTATTGCCAGTGATAATAGAGCTTAGAAAAATCTGTATTAGAAGAAAAGTTGTGATATTAACTGTAGAGCAAAACAATATCAGCTGTTTTCTTGGAACGACATGCCATTTAACAGTTGACTATATATGAATAGACACTGGAAAAGTGTTTTAGCATAGTCTAATCACATTTGTAGATAAGTTTCCCAAATTTAACAGCATTACAGTTTAACGAACTTTATTGTAATCTGCCCAGTGGTCGGCAAATTCATTAGTCAACAGAGCCAAATATCAACAGTACAATGATTGAAATTTCTTTTGAGAGCCAAATTTTTTAAATTTAAACTATATAGGTAGGTACATTGTTATTAACTTAATTAGGGTACTCCTAAACTGGCCTTTGCTAAAAACTCAAGGGGCCAAAGAGCTGCATGTGGCTCGCGAGCCGCAGTTTGCGGACCACTGGTGTAATCAACTGCGGATGTGCTGTAAATGGAAAATTCTTGGTTTTCTTAATCCTAGTCTGGTGCTTTTTCCATCACAGCAACTTTTTTCAACCTGTAATTGAGAGCAGTGTTATTATTCTAGGTAGCTTCATTTATTATTTGTATTAGAAGCAGACACAATTTGTGCTTTTAAAAAGGTCATATATTATACTTATTTGCATAGCCCATGGACACAGACCTGGGGATGTTGGGAGGAGGGGGGAAATGGGAGATATTAACAAGAAAATTACATTTTTAAAGTTTATTAATCTATTTTTAAAAAAGGTCATACCTTAATGCAGAAAACCCTTATTCACATTCCACTATGAAAAAGAACAGTTTTGGGGTCTTAAATATATGCTAAGAGTACCTACATTGTTACTTAATGTTCAGTGTCATAAAATAATACAATTTTAGCATTACTAAATGTTACTACATATTTTTAATTTAACAGAGATCGTAATAAGAATTTTTATTTATGCTTATTCATGAAGTTTAACAGTGAGTCTCTGGTTTTGTTTGGATGTATATTATGTTAAAGAAATGAAAAGGAAACCAGTACTTTTATGGAAGTAAAAGACGGATACTTTCTATTTTCCAAGTGCTACATTTTGTATATGACAAGTGTGAAGTCTCTTCATTGTTTCAGAAAGTGAAGGAGAAACAGAAAGATATTGAGTAAAATTTGATGAGAAATGCTCTGGATTCCTAGGCAGGGGATTGAGAGTAAGGTCTTGATTCTACTGTGTAATCTTGGGAAAGTCAGCGAACCTCTGAACCTCAGTATCCTGTCAAATCAGGGATTTCAAAAGATGAATTCCGTAATAATTTCCATTTCGTGATTCACTTCTTCTAGTTGGCTTATATTTTTTGTAAAGTATGAATAAAAGTATAGCTAAAAGATCACAGTTAGTACTTTTTGAAGTTTTACTTATGTGTTGAATGTTGATATGACTAACTTGTATTTTCCAAGGTGTAATGATGAGCCAGTGTTCTGTATTTTTTAAATAGAAATCTTAAAAAATTATATGCAATTTATTTTAAAATTGAGATAGCAAAATTATTATACTTTTATTTCCTGAAGAATTTTATAAACATCTTTGAAAAACAAAACTCATGTCAATCTAAATATTTTTTAAATTGAGAGTAGACTTAGAATAATTTTTAATTTTGGGGATGTTATGTTAGGTACCATGTTGAAAAATAATGGCTTATGTTTGCAAAACATAATTTTCATAATTAGATTTATAGTAGTTGATATAAATGCTATATGTATGTCACTTATTAACCAAGGTATTTTTGTTGTTATTGCCAAACATTTAGAGATTTAAAGTTTAAATCTAGTTACTGTTAATTGTGTTTTTCCTTGGTGGATTAATAGAAAGACATACTTAAGTTGTAGTATATTTGCCAGGAGTCAGCTGAAGTGAATAGGAAGTTTTTTTTTTTTTTTAAATTAGTTGTCTATGTAGACACTTTGGCCCGAATTTAACAAGTTACATTTCTAAGCCATTTTATTTGTATGTATATTCTATAATGAAAGTTTCAGCCAGATCATTTTGTTTGTGATAGACTAGGTAAATACAAGGTTTTGAAAGTCATAAGTTCATGTGTGAGATATTTTTCTATACCTAAAATGCTAAGTGCTTTCTAAATGGTTAGGTAAATATTTTAAAATTCTGTGGCCTTAAAGCCCATAAATATTATGTAAAGTGTTAATTTTATTTGAAAAAGGTACACACATGTAGTATGAATGTGTTTAAAAACGATTTTAAAGTTTAGTGATTATTTAGTCCCTTAAGGAATTTGCAAGGCATATCTCACTATGAATTGAAGAATACCGTAATATTTGTGACATTTATTTTGTGGTTCCAGTGAGTAGTATTTCATTCTCCTTTCATGTTAATATTTTGTGGTACAATATCAATCTGTATCATAATTTTATGCTTTATTTTGTAAATATTGTATGTACTCTGCCATCGGAACTATTGTTCAGAAACACAGATTTGATAAAATCCCTTGCTCTGTTTTAAAAACCTCTTATGGTTTTTCATTGTCCACAGGATAAAGTGGACAATGACCTTGAACCTTGCTTGTAAAATCTTTAATAACATGCTCTTAGCTTTTTTGTTTGTTTTGTATTTTAAAAAGTCATCTAGGACTTAGGGATACTCCCCCCCCCCCCTCCATCCTTGGCTGTAACTATTTGTGGACTGCTTATTGTTTTTGACCTGTAGATATTTTCTTTTCTTTTGCTATTACTGTTAACACTGTTTGAAATCTCCTTTAAGGAGCAAATTAGATTAAGAAGTCTTTAGACAGTACAGTGATATTCAAATTACTCTTTAAACCGAGAACAAACCTTCAGTATAGCAGAGTTGGCCATTTAAAAAAATGAAAGTTGACAGATGATGTGATGTGTGATAGATTTTCATTATGTCTCATGAAATAATAACATCTCCATAAATTATGTTTTCCCATACTGAGTGGAAAGTAAATAGGGCCAACCATAAGTCGAACTGTAAAGCTTATTTTCATTGTCCTCAGACTTTTTATCCACCTCAATGGCGGGACTTTCTCTGATTCTCTTTTTCTTTACCCTTGCAATTACCAAGTCAGCCTGTTTCTCCAGTATATTCTCCTGCCTTCCTATCCCCTACCAGTGTTTCCCAAAGTGTGGTACCCGTACCCCCAGGGGTACGGGAAGATTTTGGTGGGGGTACACGTTGCACCGGAGTTTGGTGGGGATATGCACTATACCATGCTTAGCTGCGCCTAATTCTACATACTCATGAGTATGAGGGGTACTCAGCATTACGAAAATTATAGAAGGGGTACACATATGTCAAAAGTTTGGGAAACACTGCTTGAACCCAAACAGGAAGAATCTATACTTGCTGAAAACATTTATTTCAACCTAAATGTATTTATATAGATATAGAAGAGATAGATTCAGAGTTTATCTAATTGAAATCTGCTCATTTTATAGACAGGAAAGAAATTAAACTCCAGAGAGGTAAAAATATTGTTTCTAAGTTATGGTGTGAGATATTTGGGATATAGGGACTAAAACCAAGCTAGGTCCTGCCATAAAGAGCATAAATAGCTACAGTCATGGTTTTCCAAGGCTGTAACTAATTTTGCCAATTATCTGATAAATGACTCCCTGGTTAAAGGAGTTAGTGGGT